GACTATGCTAATCTCTAGCATATTTCTTAGAAAGTTCTTTGGCTTTTACTACCTGCTAGCTTTTCTTACCTACCAGGAACTCTGATCAATGTTACTTCCTGGCGTTCTACCTTCTAGTTTTCCATGGAAAAGGCATGGTTGATATTCCAGTATCTCTTTGTATAGACACAACAGACCTGAGTATAGAGTGAGACTGGACTCTGGCTCCTAGTGACCTTTAGACTACTATTTCCCAAGCTGAGTTTTGCGCAACAGTCAAATTCTTGAAAGTGAACCATGTTGTGCTGTTTTGAAGTATAGTGACATGTATATTTGGACTCCAGTGTGAGGTCTCTGGTGTGGTGTCTATTTGTCTGTCTCTCCCATCTCTGTTTCTCTCTCTCTATCTTTGTATCTGTCTCTCTCTTTCTAATGTGTGTTTGTGTGTGCCTGTGTGTGTAGGTTTCAGAATACTTGTTTTCTGTGGGAGGACAGATGGGGAAAGGTTCTAATTGGTTTTTTAAGAGCGATGCTGCCATGTGCCTGTAAGCCTCTTGGTGTTCTGTAACATTTACTATAACTACCCCCTTGTAAAGCCGTCTGTCTTCTTATGGCATGCTTGCCTGCATCCCAGAGCAGGTTGGACCCACTTCCTGCCTATTGGGTCTGCTCCTGACCATTGCTTATAGCTGGCCACACCACACGCTGACCTGTGTGACCTTCCATTGGAGGCTCTCAACATCAGCTGGGCCCTCAGTCCTTGCCCCTCTCTCCTTGTCTGCTCCCCCAGAGCGCATTTCCTTCTGGTTGGCTCCGACTGACACTGTCACTCTGTCCCCTCTCCAAACAGATGTTTCGATTTAACTGAGAAGAGGCCCCTTTCTCCTGCACCCCACTTGGCTCCCCTTCCTGACTTCCACCTGGGTAACTAATGTTAGTTACCATGCTGGGGAACAGACCTCAAAATGTACAACAAAGCCCATTCTAAGAGTTTTATTGGTAGAGAGTGGGAAAGGGAGAGGGGGTGTGCACAGGCCTGCCTAAAAGAAACATGGGAGGAGAGGGAGAGAAAGAGAGAGAAGGAGGGAGGGAGGGAGGGAGGGAGGGAGGGAGGGAGGGAGGAAGGGAGGGAGGGAGGAGCAGGTGTGTGTACTTTTAAAGATTGCTCAGGGCATGCTAATGGGGGCTTATGTAGCAATACCACACATGTGCATAAATTGCATAAGGCCCTGGAAAGACTAGGCATTTTACCTGAATGCTGAACGCACATGAGCAACCGACCCCAGAAAGGCTAACACCTGGGGTGGCTTGAGCATTTTGCCTGAATGCTGATGGCCTATGTGCAGCCACGGGACTCCAGAAATGTTGGAAATGGTAACAGTTGGTTTGGCTGCTCCCGTGGGGCCCCTCCCTCCGACCCCTTGTCCTCTCCTGGGCACCAGCAAGTCACCCTTTCTGAGTCCTTCTTAGCAGTGCGCACACGAGGGAAGGGAAGTGTGTGTGAAACCCTACTGTACCCTCAGCACATGGGATGCCCTGTCACGGGGTGTGTTCAGCAACTATTTCTTTTTTTTAACAAATGCGTACTTCTTGCCTTTTTTTTTTTTAATCCAACTTTTACTTTCAAATAATTTTAAACTAGAAAATAGAAAATTCCCATATGTACCCTGGTAGGTTTCAAACCTGGGACAAATGGCTGAGGTGCCTAATTAGCATATCAAAGCAAACACTGGCCTCCAGGTTCTCCCTGAGTTCCCACCCATTACCAGGCACTCAAGGCTGCCATACCCCTGTCCCCTACCTTAAACTTCTCCAGCCCAGGGGCTGCACTGTCCTTCCTGAAGCTTCTTTCCCCTATCTAATCCAGCCAGTTTTGGTTACCCCTCCTGTTTTCGGCCTCCTGGGTGCTGATCTGGTTCCTCTCATTCTTCTCATCCTTCCTCTCTGCCCTGTCCTCACATAGTTCAGGGTCGTGTCCACTCTGGACTCTCCCAGAGGTCCCTGCTTCTGGCTATACTCTCCTACAAACCTATAATAAGCCTTCGCCACCATACCTAGAAGTAGTCATTCCTTTTTAAATTTCTTTTCTTCATTCATCTGGTCCCAAAACCCAGGACTAGTCATGTCCTTTGCTTTCTCCTTTCTTTTTTCATTCATACTCTGTAGTGAGGCATCCACCCCGTCTGCACCTCTTCACCTGTAGCACTGACCACGCCCAAATGGGCGTGGTCACAGGTGCGGATGTGATGAGGAAGGCTAGGTCTGGAGTCCCCGACCCAAGCTTGCTGTCCCTTGGTTCCATCAGGTCACAGAGAGCAGCCAGGATGTGGATCCTTGGAGCGGGAACTTGTGGGTCATATTGGTTTCTCATGTGATTTCTCCCAGAATAAAATATAATAACCTTGTCCCGTGTATCATAACCTGTGCATTGGTAATACCCCACCCCATGTCTTTCATTTTTCCAACTTAACCAATAAAACAAATCTTCACTTTTGCTCTCTGATGCCTTCTTTCTCTGCATCCATTTATAACTGAGCTTAGCTGCACATTCTGTCCCCATCATCTCCTTCCATCCTCTCTTAAACCAGTTTTGTTCTTGCTTTTGTGATGTACCCTTGTCACTGATAAGCGAGACCTTTCTGTTGACAGGTCCCATGCCTAGCCCTGGCTTCTGCTTTGATCTGCAGTGCCTTTGCATCCCGCTGATTTCTTCTGTTACTTCACTGATAGTCACCTGACATAGACTCCGCCCCCTTCTCTCTCTGGATTGTCTCAAGTCTGCTAGTGGATTAGGTATCATCCCAAATGCTGATAACTCCAGAATGGATAGCTTAGGCCCTGATCTTTGTGGGAGAAATCCAGACAGCATTTATTTGACATTCTTTTTTGTTTGTCTAAGACGTATTTGTTAAGTATGCCAATAGCAGGAGCTTTCTTTCATTCACCACTTGAAATGTCAGAGCCGTTGTCAGCAGTATTTTCTAGCCCAGGAAATGGCAGCTACATTCGTGTTGCCTATACCCAGAACCTTCGAGTGTCCTGCCTTCTCCATTTCACTCATATCCTATATTAAATGGACTGACAAATGCTCTTAGTTCTGTGTTTAGTATGCTCATCTAAACCTTGTCACTCCACTGTGGTCCGGGCCACCGTGGTCAATTTGTGTCACCTTCTAACAGGTGATTGTTTCCAGTATGGATTACTGTTTGCATACTAGTTAAAATAATCACTTTGAAACATAAGTCAGACTAAGATGCCTCTCCCTAACACCCTCACAATGTTTTACCTCACTGTAGATTAAAACTCTTCACTTCGTTAAGTGCTAAGTGGCTTTCCATTCTGACATCTTGTGTTATCTGCTTCCTTCACACCATTCTTTCCTCTCCATGGTACAGCACTACTGGCGCCCCCGCCTCAGAACTTTTGGACTTCTTGTCTCCAACAAGAATAGTTTCCTTTCTATGTTTGCATGGCTCACTTCTCTCTTTTATCAGATCCTTCAAGTATTTGCTCAAATACTGCCTCACGAGAGGCCAGACTCAGCTGTAGAAAGGAGTACCTTTGCGTTCTCAACTTAATCCTTTCCTTCATCTGTCCTTTGTGCCAAGCATAACTCATAGATTTAATTAGGCCTGTCATGGCTGCAACAGTCCCGAACATGTACAAGCCTAAAGTAATTTATTCGCCCATAACAATTCTGTGATATTTGCATAGTATTGTAAGTAATCCTGGGGTGATTTAAAGTATGCAGAAGGATGCACACACAGAGGGGATACAAACATCATACCATTTTATATGCGGTTCTTGAGTATCTCTGAATTGTTATCTTCAGGGGTCCTGGGCTCCAATCCCCTGCAGATACAGAGGTCAGCTATCCTTTCTTTCTACAGTTCCTTTCTGCAAGGCTCTAAGAGCCACAGGAACAACTTCCACTTAGTTTACTATGGCCGTCTCCTCAGGGTCTGTCCAGTGCCCGGCACATCAATTTTTCACACATTGTCTTCACTTGATACTTAAAAGAGTGAGTGGGCAGATAAATGGGTGCAGTACATTGCATGTGGAGGGAAGGAACTTACAGACCAAGTGTGGTGAGGAGCAAGGGACCAAAAGCACCAGCATGGTGTGCTGATAGGAGGGCTCTGGCTTAACGGTAGTGACAATGATGGGCAGGGGGAGCGCAAAGGGAGGGATCGCAGCGTCTCTTTTATTCTCCGGCATCTGCAATTCTAAAGAGTAGCAGAAAAAGCATGTTGTCACTATTTATATATTTACTTATTTAGATCAGGTCTTTTGCTAGCTTGTGGTATCTAGAAGAAGCATCCTACACTCCCATTATAGGATAAACCCATTTATACTATATCCTTGTAGGTGTGCTTACATTTTATTTATTTGAATTTTTAGGAAGCCCCTGCAGCAGTAGGTCCCCGCATGGTATTTAAAAGTTCTTTATTTAGTGCTGGTTCACTTCCCTGTTCCATTACCCACCACTCTCTGCCCCTCCCCCATGTAGTCCTCCTTGCTCCATTACACACTTCCCTCTCCACACTACATGTGCTCCCTGGAACACTTCCCTTCCCACAGCCCTTGCTAGTTTCCTGGTTTTTGTATGTACTCTAGCATGCTGGTTTTTTGATAGCAATCTTGCCCATGAGCCTTAGAAATGCTAAAGTAATTTTAGCTTTCCTTTGACATAGTTCATTTTCTCCCATGATGCTTGTCAATGACGCTCTGTTTGTACTTTTTCTGCCTTTGAAGTTGTAGGCTTTAACAACTTTTTTTTTTTCCTCTTGGGGAAATGAAACTATAGTGTCAAATCCATATGGTACATCTAGCAAAAATACACTCTATGTGTGTAAACTTCATACATGTGGAAAATGAAAGCTCCTTTAGCATTTAATCAAATTGGACAGATTGTAATAAACAGAACTTTGAATGTGTTCATAATTGCTAATTTAAGATTTTCTGACAGTATTTGCCTGGCTCTTTAATAACTCCCGCTTTTTAATTTGCATCACTTGCAGGTGTGAATCATCCAGTCCACACATCCATCCCGTTGGTTGGTGTAAAGAACATAGAAGAACCCTTATTACTCCACCAGGTTTGGACTTATAATGTGTCTTTGTTTTTCGTATACCTGAAGAGTTGACTACATTGCTCTGTAAAAAGCCAGGTCATAGATATTTTACATTTGGTGTGCCCCCGAGTCCCTGTCACAATTGCTCAGCTCAGTTAAAGCACAAAAGCAGCTGTGGGAAATAAGCAAACACATAAATGTCAGGGTTGCAGCTATACTTTCCAACACCCTGCAGCCAGCTACAGGCAGAAGCTCACTGGCCCCCGATAGAGCCTCAACTCTATTAAACATCCACTTAGTTTATAGCACAACCTTAGATTATCATCTTCTTTGACAGAGTTTGTAAAAACATCCCTCCATCGTCTTTCAACCTGGGGTTCATTTTGGGACTTACTCATGTTGTGTGCAGCTGCTCAGCTTGGGCAGGTAAGAAGAATAGATGGGGTGTTGAAGGTGGAGCCCAGACTGCATTGTTGGGGTCCCTTCTGGCAGGTGTGATGTCCCTGGGAAGTGAGAGTCTGTGGCTTTAGCCTTTTCTGCTAAGTTTAGAGCTGACACATTTGCTTGTGTTTATGTTGCGGTCTCTTCTGGTTCCAACATAGATTTTTGTAGCTTGTGCTAGCTACCTAGTATCTCTGTTCCCTGAAGCTTTGGGGGTGGAGGGGTTCAGCTGTCTGTCAATAGCTGTGGAGCCTTCTATTTTAGGCACTGTCTCTTCAACAAGAAACAGTGTAACTGCTGGTGAATAGTGTTTGTGGTTTTATGTGCTAAAGAACAGGTTTATCTTTGTCATCATAGTAAGGATTGTTTTTAAAGGCCTCACTGTTGAAAGTGTGCTGGTCCCCACAGGTAGGAAAAGGCAGGGTCATCGGCTGACATGAAGCCCTACTGCTCAGGAGCTGGTGGCTGAGTGGATGCTAGACTAAAGCAGGCCACCTTAGCACCAAGAGGAGAATATAGGACCTGGGTTTCCTGGCAGCTGGTCAGTGGATGGAGCGGGCAGCATATAAAATCAGCCCCAGTTTGCAGCTTCTCAAGTAGCTTCATTCCATTCAAACAGCTGTCTGTGTTAAGATTCACTCCTGGTTCCCTTAACCCAAGGCCACACTCAGAATGCCCAATTGCTTCTTACAAGGGAACCAACCATTCATATTGCCTGCGCACCTAGTCCTTTTTATTTTCAAAGTTTTCTTGTAATTGGAAGAGAAGAAAGTAGAACCTACTTCCTGGCTAATTTCCATGGCTAGTTTGAAGATGAAAGAGACATAAGTAGCAGAAAGTTAAAGCAAAATATTAATAGTCCTATCGCTCAAACCTGGTGCTACCTGGAAGACGTTTTATGCTAGTGATCACAGAGCTGGCCCTCAAAGCACCACCATGTAGCCTGCTATGAGGATTCTTGTTACTACTCAGTTTAATATCAATTCTGTTATACACAGCACTTTGTCATAATCAGAGTCTGGTAAATAAACAGTGAACTAGTGAATGACAGGTTCCTGATGCTGTCCCTAGGATGGGGTGTGTAAGGACCAAACCAAGTCATCCATCACGGAAGAAAATACCAATGTTGTTTTGTTTTATTTTTGACAAGCTTTTAAAAGTATAGAACTTCGGCCAGGTGTTGGTGGCACATGCCTTTAGTCCCAGCACTCGGGAGGCAAAGGCAGGCAGATCTCTGTGAGTTCCAGTTTAGCCTGGTCTACAAAGCTACTTCTAGGAGAGGCTCCAAAACAATACAGAGAAGCACTGTCTCTAAATAAACAAAGTACAGAACTGCATGTGAAAATGTCCAAATATCATAGTATGTTTTAATGACAAAAACGATACATTCAGCATCACATAACTTTTTACCACAATTTAAAAAAATGTAAAAGCAAGAATAACAATGAAGAATCCCAGTCAGATTATGAGCCTGGTTTACCATGCATGTGTTGGTCTTGTTCCTCACAAAAATGTACCTTCCCTCTGGTTCCTTTTCCTTTGAGGGCTCAGTCTTACCTCTTGTCTGGAAAGAAGGGTCTAAGTGCTCAGTTTCCTTGAACAACTTTCCTGTCACCTTTACTATATCATGCACAGTCTGCCCATCTCCTGACCAGTCCTCCTGGCTATCCTGTGTTCATGTATTTTGTAAATATGCCTGTCTTTATTGTTCCCTCTTTGAAATTAAAATTCATGCCTTTTAAAAATATTTTCTCAATGCATTTAAAAATTGAAATCAATGTATGAAAGAAAATATGTGACACATGTTTTTTTCTGAGCCTGGCTTACTTTGCTCACATAGTGATCTGTTTCCACCCATATTCTTAAATTTGCCATCATTTTATTCCTCCTTAGCTGAAATTCCACTGGGTACACATGCCACATTTGCTTTATTCATCTGATAATGGGCCTCTAGACTGGTTCCATATTTGGACTAATATGGGGAGTTTAGCTCTAAACAGTGCATGGAGCTCTGTGGTGTCCAGACTTGGACTTCTTCCCGCTTTTAAAAGTAGAGAATTGCGCAAGGAGTAAGAGTGGCTTCGTCTCATGGTCGTTCTCCACACCACACCGCTTTCCATACTGGCTGTGCCGGTGTGTGTTCCCACCAGCAGTGTGTAAGGGCACGCCTTAATCTCAGCAGTGCTCAGCAGATATTTGTTGTGTTGATGTCGCCCATCTTGACATTGAGGTCTTTACAGGTCTTATCTGAAGCTATTAATTTTTATACAGGGTGAGAGATAAAGACCTAGTTTCGTTCTTCTTTTGTGTCTTTGTTCACCAGGAACACTGGTTTCTTTAGCGTGTGTGTCTTCACCAGGTTTGAGTTATCACAGTGTCTTGGCTTCATGCAGTGAGTTTGGTACTGGTGCTCCAGTGTGAGGGGTGTTAGTGTGCACTCTTCCGTAAAGATTTAGAAGAAGGTAGCAACTCATGCGGTCTCCTTTGTTGAGAGACTTTGTGCTGCCACTTTAGTTGTCGTGTGCTTTGCTTGGCCATTTCACAATTCTTCCTTTCATTTAGGTAACTTGTACATATCTTGTTTTTTTTTTTTTTTTTTTTTTTACTAGAGTTCACTTGTTGTTTTGTTTCATTTTTTGAATATCCACTCAAAGGTTTCCCTACTATTTCTCAGGATTTATTTGTAGTTTTTTCTAACCTCTTTTTTTTTTTCCATCTCTAATCTTATTATTGTGGCACTTTACTTTCTTCTGGTTAGTTCTGCTAAAAAAATTTGTTCATCCAGCTTGTGTTTTCAAAGAACCAACTCTTTGCCTGAGTGATCCAATATATGGCTCCTCACTTTTCTGGTAGGATCTTTATTATATCTTCTAACTTGCCACACTGGGATTTGGTTTGTTTTTCTCTTTATAAGAACCTATACTTTATCAGGTAATTTATTTGAAATATTTCTGAATTTTTAAAAAAGATTTATGTCTGTTATGTGAGTGTTCTGTCTGCATGTACACCTGTATGCCAGCAGAGGGCATCAGATCCCGTTATAGATAGTTGTGAGCCACCATGTGTTTGCTAGAAACTGAACTTAGGACCTCTGGAAGGGCAGCCAGGGCTTTTGACCTTTGAACTGTCTCTCCAACCCTCTGGGTTTTTTGTTTGTTTTGTTTTTTTTTTTTTTTTTTTTTTATTTCATGTAAGTTCTCACAGTTATGAACTTTCCTCATAGAGCTGCCATATCTTATCCTAACAGTTTTAGTAAAGCTGGGCTCTTTTTTGTTTTCTTTTTGTTTTAGGAAGGTTTCAATTTTCTTTCTTTGTTTCTTCAATGACCCAACTGTTCCCTCAAGTGTGACTTCTGTGATTTCTCTTGATTTTTAGTTTTGTTCCATTATGATTTGATAAGAAATAAAAATAATTTTGATATATGTGTACGTTTATTACATACAACTACTCTTTAGTTTTCTGAATTATATCTCAATACATGTTTGATTTTAAGTTCAAAATGAAATGGAGACCGCCACAGTTTTCAGTCTTCACGGTTTAAAGGTTTACTAGTTCTTTCTACTTTATCCTGTCGTTTTAGAGAGTGTTCTGATTGAAGTTAAAATGTACGAGGTTAGGTAATTAAATATGCTGCAAAATGCATGTGTGTGTGTGTGTGTGTGTGTGTGTGTGTGTGTGTGTGTATAGGCTTTCATCCATCCTTTTTAATTACTTTGAAACATCCTCTGGTGGAGAGAGGGGTCAAGACTACTTCCAGAGTCCTTTGTATCTCCACTTAAGCCAAAGACTCATTCAGGTTTGACAGCTATCCCCATCTATGCAAAAGCATCTTGCACTGCCACTCAGCTACAGATTCTTCTAGTCCCCAGTTCGATTGTCTTTGGCAATTACAGCCTTAGTATGTGTGAGACTTTCAGACTAATCATTTTGTACAGAGTGATGTCATTTGGGTGTGATTGATGTTTCCTTGTGACTGGACCCAAGTTGTACTTTTGTTTGTTTTTCTTTTGTTTTTTGAAATGGTCTTATCAGGTAGCCATGCTGGACTGGAACTCATTATGTAGACCAGGTTGGTCTCAAGGTCACAGAAATCCACCTACCTCTGCCTCTTGAATGGTGGGACTAAAGGGAAGTACCCTTATGCCCATCTATCTCCAAGTTGTTCTTTTTCTTTTTACTTTTTGAGCACTAAGTGTTTTCATTATAATCCTCTCAAGGGCAAGGCATTTCAGTCTGTCTTTTTAGCATTAATTAATCAAGGAGATATTTGCTAGTCCTTTCTACCAATACATTTTTTTCTAGAAATCTTTGAGATTTTGTAATTACCTCCTATCTCATCTGTCTTCCAGTAGTTATACCATCTGCTAATATTTCTATTTGTAACTAATTACTATTCTCAGTTGACAAATGTTAATGACTAATGGTAATTTTTCTTATTCCATCTATTTTTTGCACATAATTAATTGGTATTCTTCTGCAAACATTAGCTTTTTCATTTCCCAGTTACCCACCTAGGTAATTTATTCGGTCGAACTGTAGATTACTAACTTTATCCAAGAGTTTATTGTTGATTTTCATGTAGCGGTTTTGAAGATGTACCCAGTAAGAGCTCCTTTAAGCCGGCTTCTACGTCCTTTTCACACCCTTGTCTCAGTTTCTGCAAACGGTTATCTGCCAAGCTAGGAGTATTGTATAATCATTTGTCTTCACCGAGCCCTATTGCCATTTTTTCTAAGGATTTTTTTTCTTTTATAAATTAGAGAGTGCTGCTTAGAAACTTTGATCTGGTTTGCTCACTGCTAGTAAAGCTGACGCTCTATCGGGCATCTCAGCGCTGTAGGAAAGATGCATCTGTAAGCATATAAGAACTTTGTATTCTTTTCTGTTTTGGCATCCGTGTGTGCTAAAAACCCTCACATAGATACCATTGGCCCTGATTCAACCCTCAAAATATTGGCTTCATTTTAGTTTTCCTCTCTCCATGTTTATACCTGTTTGTTAGGTGCATAGAAACCTGAGTCCTTTTGTAACTAATATATTTGCAAATATTGTAAGTCCTCTTCATGTGGCAAAGTTTGCATGCTGATAGGTCAATGTTGTGCCTGCCTAATGAATCTGGGGCTCTAGAGGAAACAGAAGGCAGTGAGGAGGAGGAGGCAGAGGGGTTGTTTTTACACATATTTTAAAAATATTCTGTGATACAGGCATATTTATTTACTCAGCCTAATAAAAGGAGTTATCTGAAATATTTCATAAACAATACATGTAAATCCTATGCATTATTTCACAGTTTTAATTAAGCTATTTCCTCTAAGTTCATTTTAAAATTAAGAGTCAGGGTAAGTGATCAGAGTGGAGCCAACCACTGTGAGCAATACCTCTGAAGAGAATTATGGACCTGCACATTCTTTCCTGGGCTAGACTGCTGGCATGTTGTGACTTCTGTAGGATAGTTTGTTAGTCTCACTCTCATTTTCATGACCCCCTCATAGTATTCATGTTTTTCCTCTTTTTCTAGGTTATTCACACGTGAAACACTTTTCTTGGGATAAATATTTAGAAGAAACCAATTCTTTACCTGCTCCTGCAAGAGCTTTCAAAGTGGTGAGAGAATTTGCCTTGTACTCTAATTTGTGTGTGTTGATGATGCTGTTTACTTTTGAACCTTTAAGAAACTGGTCAGTTGGCTTAGCGATGAGAACAAAAAGGCCAAAGAAGATATTTTCCAAGTTTTTCCATTTCGAAAGTCAAAATTGTTCCTGGGATTTCTGTGTATGTGGGTGCACATGTTTTGGGGAGGCGGGCACGGGGGTGGGTACAGAAGAACCTTGAATGGGTTCCTCAGATTCTGTCCATCTTGGTTTTTGAGACAGGGTGTCTGTCTGGCTTGAAACTTAGCAAGTAGGATAGGTTGGCCAGTGTGAGCCACCAGATCTGCTTGCCTCCATCTCCCTCACCTTGCCCACTTTCAAAATGTGGATTTTCGGGCACAAACTTTACCAACTCAACTATCTCCCCGGCTCCTCAGATATGGTACTTTATATTTTCTCATGAATTCATGGGGAAATAAATATTAAATAACTTTGTGAGAGTCGGGCACCGGACATGTTTGACATCCTGACATTTGAGAGGTGAACGAGGAACCCCACAACTCAAGGTCAGACTAGACTATGTACCGAGATCCTGTTTCAAAATCAAATACTATTCTTTTAAACATGACTCTGTCTTCTGTAGACAATTTTCTCCTTTAGATGATGCTTTTGTGCAAAAATTGCTAGCGTTTTTAATAGTAGACTTAGCAAGTACAGTTTAAGACATAGAAAGAACATCATGAGTTTAAAAGAGAAAAATCATATCAAGTGGAGAGAAACCTTGTTAAAGAATTTCTACGACTCCACCTTAAGGTTGTTCAGGCTTTAGAGTAAGACCAAGGGATGCCGTATTTGCTCCCTCTTTTCTACCCTTCCAACAGGCAGACTTCATACCTGGATACAGGGGCAGCAGCAGCAGGTTACATGTCTGCTGTTCTATGGGAGGGAGAACTCAGATTTCTCCAGCTTGGCCGTCAAGAATCCTTGCAGCAATTGTTCTGTCCTTTGTGTTATTATATATAACTTACCAAAACCGTACAAATATTCACCTCATTTCCCTCGACCCATGGTTTTCTCAGAGATGTAACGGTTTCCTCTGGGTGTTAAGCTTTCTTTCTTGGAAGAGCTGTTCCATCTTGTTCAGTTGGATTGCTGATTTGTTTTAAATCAGCCTCTGACCCTTACCACGGCTAATGTTTCATCTCAGACACTTTGGTTTTCCCTCTTTTAAAAAACAAATTTCACGTTCTGTGCCAATATTGATCCCAGAAACATGATGAACATTGCTAACACCTGCCAGACATTCTGCAAGAAGTTTGCCAAGCCCCAACCCCAGAAAGTGACACAGGACAAGAAGGGCAATGGTTCTTTGTATGCCCAAGGAAAGCAGCATTATGACAGGAAGGAGTGGCTATAGTGGGCACACTAAGCCTATTTTCTACAAAAAGGCTAAAACTACAAAGAAGGTCCTGCTGAGACGGGAGTGTGTTGAGCCCAATTGCAGATCTAAGAGGATGCTGGCTAGTAAGAGATGCAAGCATTTTGAACTGGGAGGCAATAGAAGAGAAACAGCCAAGTGATCCTATTCTAAGCCAAGTTTGTTATGATGACAATAAAATCAAGCTCACCTCAAAAAATAAAAAAATAAAACAGCTACAACAGAAACATGCCTATTAACTTTTACCATTACACCTCAACCGATAAGGAAAATGTCTAGCCTTCCCTGTGGCTGATCAATAGCTATGGCATCTCTGCCTGTCCGTCTTCTCCTCAACTGGGCAGTTAGGCTGTCCCTTTCCATGTGTATTGAGCTGTGTGTTTTGACTGAAAAGTGTCACTCAGTGCTAGTCTAAGAACGGGTAACCTAAACAATTCAACTGTTGCTTGCTTGCTGTTGTGCATCAACCTTCTCTTCCTGGCTGCTTGACATCTTTCTGTTACAATAGAAACCTCCACATGGGTTCCAGAAAAAAATGAAGCTTGAAGCTGTAGACAAAAGAAATCCCTTGTTTATCAGAGTAGCAACTGTAGCGGATACAGATGATCACCGGATCAAGGTAAGTGCTCTTGGTCCTGGCGTTTAGTTTTGGCCTTTGTTACTCTGTATCTTAAATGGAAAACTTAAGCCCTGCAATTAAATCACTAAAACCACAGGAATACATAAAGTTGCTTTGCTGTTTTTGAAGCTTGCATCCATCCAAGTATTTCCTTTAATTGTCCCAAAGTATTTTTTCTTTAATTATGAATGACAATTTCCTATTTTGAGTGTATATTTAGAGAAAGTAGACATATTCAGGTAATATACTCTTCAGAAGAAAAAGAAAATAACTGTATCATGCTCCTATAGTAACCCTCTTTTTAAGAAATTAATTTTTTTGTTGACTATTAGATATAGTTTCTAAAGTATAAGCAAAGAAAATAACTTTAAAGTTAAAATGAGAGTTTTACTGGAATTGGGTTAATAGACATCAAATACCTCTCTTAAAGTCAGTCAGTGTATAGAAGATATTGCTAATTGTATTCACATGTGGTACCAAGTGTAGTGGTTTGGATGCAATACCCAAAGGCCTCATGGGCTTCTGGCTTACCACTGATTTCTCTCTTAAGCCAGAATCGTACCTATCCTACCTTTTCCCTCGGGGCAGCCAACCTTTCTGTTAGGAATAATAATGTCTCTAAAAACAAGTCATTATCAGCACATGACAGTGAGGTTCTCAGCATGCTTTTGCGATGGACATTTGTAGTCTCTTCAGTGTGGGTCATGGAAGCCATCGTCCCTGTACCGATGAGGTCAGGATCAGACGGATTTGATGAAGCACTTTTTTCAGTACTAAAAGGGAAAGAACTCTCAGTTCTATGGAGGAAGAAACTTCAAGCTTATCTTTCAAAATAATAATAAATCATTAGCTATTTCTAATAAGTTAATTTATGTGGTACTAAAGTTTAAAATAAGACAAAAAGTTATACAAATGGTTACTTCTGTACAATAGAAACTAATATTTAATTCCAGTCAGGCATGCTAGCACTCACCTCTAATTCTAGCATTTGGGAGGCAGAAACGAAAAGACTTGGGTTTCAGGCCATGGGCACAGCCAGAATCTGCCTCAGAGACAAAACAAAAGGCCACATAATCATACATATTAGAAAATCATATAAAACTGTAAGTCTGTGTTAACCATTATCTAGTGCACTTTTATTTTTGTTTTGTTTTGTTATTTCAAGACAGGGTTTCTCGGTGTAACCCCAGTGGTCCTGGACCAGGCTGGTCTTGAACTCAGTAATTCACCTGCCTCTGCCCCTCTAGTGCTGGGACTAAAGGTGTGTCCCACCACCACCACCTGGGATTCTAGTGCAGTTTTTTATTCATTATAGTTGGTTGTGATATGAAAATCATAACGGAATCAGTGCTTTAGAACTAGAGTTTTAACAAACATCTAATAATAAACTAGTTTTAATAAACCAGAAATCAAAAAAAGTGTCAAGTATAATATTTTTATACCAGCTTGTTAAGTACCGTCATGACAACTATTTAGTTTGGGAAATGAATTTACCATCCCATCACAGTGGGTAGGAATAAAAGCGTCTAAGTTCTTGCAAAGACTACTTTGGCATCACAATTTTGAAATGTTGTTTATTCTTTTAAGAGTTTTTGTCTTGAATACTTAGGGAAGTATCTAGAAGGAATGTGCAAAGAAAATACTCAAACAAAAGAAAGTAGAGTCACTCTGGTTATAACATTAAATACTGAGAACAACCTTAGTAACTGGTGGGAAAAAGTAAATAAAATATGCATTACATTACATTAACACAGACTATTTCAACAAGATATTTAGTATTGGGAAGCAAAATATTCAGGTTGAAATCATTATGTAAAATATTTGTTCTTTCCAAAAGAACAAGCCCATAGTGGATTCTGTAAGGAAACATACCAAAAATAATGAAGGTACTAAGACTATAAAGTGTTAGGCTTTATATTATTTTGAAATAAAAAAAATTTTTTTAGTTGTATGAGAATTTTGATACAGAGGAATGGGATGCTCTGAGATACTTTTTCCACTAATTAATGGGGGAATCTGAGACTAGAGCCCATCCCTTTACTAGTCGCTGATCTCCCTGTCTTTATGCAACATCCTGCTAAATCCTTGGCACTCAAAGAGGAGCTGGCTGGGCTGTGTGGAGATGATCATCTTTGCCCAGTTTTTAGAATGACTGTCACGAGCTGAACTCGACCACTACAAATACATTGCCTGTTTCTGAACACTCAAAGGGTCAGGGATGGGGTTTCAGATTCAGCAGAGGCATTGGGGGGAAAAGTGAGCATCCAGCAGTAGTTTTTCTTATAACGTGTGAAAAAATAAGGCAAGCAGGATCATTTCTCTTGGACAAGGCCAAGGAATGCACAGTTATGTGTGTGGTTTTGTATTTTAAGTGTCTGGGGAATAAAGTCAACTCAATGTCAAATAAGATCAACTTTTAAAGTTATACAGTATCTGCCATTTAACGCCTTGAGCTTCTCTGGTGGTAAGGTAGGTGGTTGTTCTGCTGGGTGCTGTTGAAAGCAAGGACCAGGATGTCTGTTCTCATCTTCTGTTTGGGGGACAGGACATGGAGTAGTGTTGGCATCCCTCTTCGGCCTACTTCAGCCGCGTGTGACTTTGTCTCCAGTTTTTAAAATACTTCCTATGCACCGGGATTTGGTATTTCTCATTTCAGTTTTCATTGTTGTTTTTGAGACAGGGCCTCATGTAGCTCTGGCTTTCCTGAAGCTCACTATCTAGACCAGGCTGGGCTCCATCTTACTGAAATCCACCTGCCTGTGCCTTTCGAGCGCTGGGATTAAAGGTGTGCACCATTACACCAGCTTCCGAGTTCAATTTTAAGTTGTTTTTCTTTTTTTCTGTTATTGGACCTCAGGATTTAGATCTTGCCATGTTTTATTTTCTTTTTGTTTTATCCGTTTGCCTGAGTGGTTATTTTTTTTTTCCCCCTGTAGTCATGATCTTTTTGTAGTTTGCTTTTTAACTATTTCTCGCTTCTTAGTAGGTATTTTCAGATGCTACAGTAGTTTCAATGTGTTTTGAATGAAAAGCATGAGTACGTGTTTTCAGCAGCTGATAGCTATCTTTCTCTTGAACAGTTTTTCCCACAACTCTTCAGCTGCCTGCTAAGGAGAGTGGGTGCTCTCAGCCAGGCCCACAGCCTGTATCCTGAGACTTGTTTTTACTGACACCCAGGCTGTCTTTCATTTTCCTGAAAATTACAAAGTATAATGGCACGCCTTGTTTTGCTTGGTGCACTTTTATCCCTCTGAAACATGTCTTTTTGTGTTTTCCTAAGAAAGGGTTTTTCATTCCATGCATTTGAGAAAATGTCCATCTTCTTTCTTTGTATTTGAGTATTAGTGGACTGGGTGAGGGGTTCTAGGGAGGGAGCTTTCATCCGTAGTTCTGTGTGTTCTGCTGCATCTCACCCCTGGAGCTTTTGGATAACCAAGACCACTCTGATTGCATCTCTTGGGCCACGGCTTGTTTCTGGAGAACTTGGCGATGGCTGTCTCTGGTGGTCTCCAGCTCTGTGATAGTGTCTTTCCATTTGTCAGACTGGTCCTCAAGCCCTCCCACTATGGAGTTTTCTGTTTGTTCCTCAGGCTCTGAAATATCCTACTTTTGTTTTGCTAGCTTCCTGGTGTCTGCTCTCTTTCTGGATGTTACTGTTCTGATATTGGCTGCCTGGTTGACCCTCTTGCTTTCTTATGCATTGCTGATGTCATAAGATTCTGTTTGCTTAGAACTACCTTCTTCTCTTTTTCAAAGTTTCTATTGAATTCTTAATTACAGTTGTGATTTTCTTTTTGTGCTTTTCAAGAAATTTTTATAAGTAATATTTAGTTCCTGCTTATTTTCAAAAGCATTATTTTATTTCCTAAAGCACTGTTGCTTTTGTCTGAGGACACCACTGGTAGTGTTTCTTCTCTTCCTTGATTATATTTTAAATTCTTCTTAAAATTTTATTTGTTTATTTGTATGTGTTGTGTGTGCCTCTGTGTGTGTGCATGAGCAGTTGCCTTTCTGGGCCAGAAGAGGGCATCAGGCCCAAGGAACTGGAGTTAACCGGTGATTGTGAGCCACCTGATGCAGATGCTAGGAACTAAATAAAGTCAGGTCCTTTGCAAGAGCAACAGATTCTCTTAACCCTTGAGCCATTGCTCCAGACCCTAAAATGCCTCTGTTCACTAGCATGGCCTCTGTTTTCATATTGGTTCTCACAGGTCAGGTAACCCTGGGTGTCTGTTCACATTAAGAGAAAGGTAGCGTACTTGTGTTTTTGTGAATAGGTTTGTATTCTTGTATATATGAATAGGCTTATATTCTCTTGTCTATAGGGGATATCTTCCAAAATCCCTAACGTATGCGTGCCTGCAACCACATAGAAAATCCCATATATATCGTTGCTTTATCTATTCATGCATACATACTGTAATGTATGTGCTAGATATAGGAAGAGCAACGGCAGCAATAGGACAATTATAGCAATGTACTCCAAAATTATGACTATCGTTCTCATTGTTGTTTTGACATTATTTTTGATCAAAGGAAAGGAAGCTTTCAAAGCTAACTAACCTTAAGTGATGCTTTCTATTTTTTTGTATGTAAATAATAAATCACTTTATTTCTGATTATTTTCCTGGTGCCTTCTAATTGTTAATTAGCTAGCTAATTTGTCTCCGTGAGCTCTAGTCCCCTCCTTAGTGTGGTATCCATGACTTCTTCCAGGAGAGGTAGTCTTTAGGGCTTTAATTCTAGAAAAATCTTGATTTTTTTTTTTTTAAGGCTTGAGAAATTACATTATTTAAAACTCACATACATGTGTGTTTATTTTTAATAACTGCATACAACTTTCCCTATAAATGATCAGTTGCTTTTTAATATCATTCTTTATTAAATCAAAGACAATATATTTTAATGTTGATTGCTTTTGCCAAATAATTCTTAAGACATTATGGTCACTGTCAATGGTCAATGGAGATTCCCTTTATACATCTACTTCCAGCAGAGTGTGAATATTTTGAGCAGGCTGATGAGAGACTAGTATCTTGTACTTTTAATTTGTAAGTTTTACATTGCAAATAAATTGATTGTCTCTTCCTATATTTAGTAGCACTTTACATTTATTTTCTCAATGATGAGCCATTTGTATCTATTTACCATCTTTCTGTTGCAGTTTTCATGTTTTCTTATTGCTAGATTGGGGCTTAATAAGGAAGAAAGGGCGTTGTCACTTGTATAGTAAGTGTGTTTGGGGGTCTTTCATATTGCTTATGGTGAACTTTACCTCCTGAAGCTTTACATTTTTATGTAACTAAATTGATCAGTATTTTTTTTATGGGCTTAGTTTGGTCTCTTGCCATGATTGTATTGTTTACTCATGCATTCTTCTAGAATATTTACTGACTTGTAAAGATGAAAGAGTTATACACTTCAGAAGAGTCTAATTGGCAAACTTGACCTAAAAATAAAATATATGAAGTCCTTCAATATATCCTTTTTGTAAAGGGCTCTGTGTGTGTGTGTGTGTGTGTGTGTGTGTGTGTGTGTGTGTGTGTGTGTAGTATGTAATGTATGTATACCTAAAAGATGGGTAGCTGATAACTAGTGACACCACTGCTAATCTTTAGTGACCAGTAACAGTGTCAACTGTGACCACTTCAAATTGTATCTTGAGAGATACTTTCTTGAGAGATACTACAAGAAAGACTATTTGGGGGCTGGAGAGATGGCTCAATGGTTAAGAGCACTAGCTGCTCTTCCAGAGTACACAGATTTAATCCCCAACCCTCACATGGAGGGTTACAACTCTCCATAACTACAGTTCCTGGGGATTCAATGCCCTCTTCTGGAGTTTATGGCCACCAGACATGCATATGGTACACAGACATCCATGCAGACAAAATACCCATACATATAAAATAAATACATCTTTATAAAGGAGAAAGACTATTTTTAAATAGCATGGTTCAGGGATGGTTTAAAAGTCAGATGTGTTTCTAGCAGGCAAAGTACTTAAAAAAAAAAAAAAAGAAGATGAAGAAGAAGAAAGAGAAGAACCTTACTTTGTATTTATCTCAAAGGTCTTCCTTTCCATACTTCCTGTTTTCCCCTCCCCTGTTTCCTGATTTTTGAATCACCTTGTCGGCGTTTGTTTTTCATTTGCTCATTTGAAGATGTTAGCCATGGTTCCTAGTCTTCATTTGCTAACAGTGTTTAAGGATATGCACAGTAAACCTGTAGAGCTGCTGCCTCAGATGCGTCTTTGGGAAGGCAGTTATTGATGTTCAGATAATTTGTTGGTAGTTTCAAAAGCATCTTTTATTTCAAGTTGTGAATGAAGTATTTTAAATAATTGAAGTGATGTATTGAACACTAAGTATACTGTGTAAGTCAGAAGGAAGTGCAAAAGGCACATGCCGTGGATGAGAATTTTACAGTAGGAATTCTTATGACTCTGTTTCTTTTGTTACCAGGTTCATTTTGATGGCTGGAGCAGTTGCTATGACTACTGGATAGATGCAGACTCTCCAGATATTCACCCTGTAGGCTGGTGTTCCAAAACTGGACACCCTCTTCAAGCTCCACTAAGTAAGATACACATGACAATGTTTTCATTTTCTTTAATAATGTGCTTAAGTTTTTCTCTCCTCTTTCTCCATTTCTTTCTGTTTCTTCATGTATTTCTTCTCCTTTGATTGCTACCAGCACACATGCACGCACACACACAGAAAAGAATAATCCTGTTGCCTAAGTAATTAAGGTATACTGTTTTGAGTTTTGATTAGAAATAAACATGACCTTTTACATTTAGTGCTAATTTTTAGAAGGTAATTTGTGAGACTATTAAAATTTTAGTATCCTAATAGTGACCTGATACTGTAGCCTTGAAAAGTTAAAGTTATCATTGTCAGAAACTGGGAAAAGTGTAAAAAGGCCACCCTCTGCTTTGTGAAAATTCACAGTTCACACAATAAAGATTTAAATTCTGTTCAGTAAAAAAAATCATAGCGCACACACACACACAGAGAGAGAGAGAGAGAGAGAGAGAGAGAGAGAGAGAGAGAGAGAGAGAAATACCAGTTTTAAAGAATATATACCTCGTATGAGAAAATACGGGAGATAAATAATTAATTTTCTTCCCCTGTACTATGTGAGTAGGTTTATGTGAGCTATATGCAGATTGCAGAATGAGGGTACATAGCCATACATATGCATATTTCTAATTGAAGAATGTCTAAAGTAACAGAGTTGGAAGCAAGTGTTAGTTAAATAAACTACGGCACATAGTTTGTGCAGAAAACATAGTCATGAAGAATATCACTATTGTAAAATGTGGAAGACTAATCCAAAGCCAGATGAGACTATTTTAAATACCCCTTTGTGTTGTACAAATGGCAATTCTAAACTTGAGATAGCCGTGCATGGAAATGTTGGAGCCGTAGCTAGAGGACATTGATGGGCCCTGGTGGATGAGGTTGGAGAGTCTGATGTAGAAAAGTTGCTGATGTTGGTAACTGTTCCTGTCCATTCCAGCCCTGGCCACTTAGTTAGCTCAGGTGGCTCCAACATGGTGTTTATATTTCAGAGTCTAAGGTCTAGTGTTTGGAGTTTTCTCATCGAATATTCTCAAGCGGTTTTTTTTTTTTTAATTTGATAACAATTCTTTCAGATATCCCTATCAAGTCAGATTTAAATGTCTCTGTTGTCTGACATCTTAAAATAAGGTGAGATCAAAATTTGTCATCTCAGTAGTAGAGAAATATAAACCTAGTGACAGAAAGAACCATGAGAAATTATCTTTAAAATCAGAGATGTTAAAAAATTTTAGATTTTTACAAGAACTACTTGGTTTTCAATTTGTATATATAGAGAAAATTGTTCCAGAAATAGAGTATTTTTTCTCGGTCCTACTCTAATCATAAACATTTAAATTTTTAGCTTTCTGCTCACCTTGCTATATTTATCTTTTTTAACCTTCTCTCTTTATTATTTTTCTGTAGGTCCTGCAGAATTAATGGAGCCATCAGAAACCGGGGGATGTCCAACTCTAGGCTGCAAGGGGATTGGTCACTTTAAAAAATCGAGATACCTGGGCACTCAGAGGTACGAGTTTGCCACTACTTACATGGGGACTTTTGTGCATGGTTGAATGGAGGGTGGCTATCTAGGAAGGTGGAAGATGATTTCCTTCTATAAGAAACAGATGTGAGCTGATAAGAAATGCGGTTAATATTCAGAGCCACAAGAAATGTGGTTACCATGGAGACTGTAAAAAAATGAAGGCTAAATCTAGTTGAGTCTTCCTGAGAGTCATCCCCTGTTTAAAATAGATTTACTTAAGTCATTCGGTGTTTTTAGTTTTTTTGTTTGTTTGTTTGTTTGTGTTGTTGTTTTAGCTTGGCTGGTTTTACAGATCCATGACTTCTAAAATAATTACTTAGGGTTTCCTGTTAATGAAATGAGGACAGTCCCTGTTGAAATTATTTAGTGGAATATGATATGGCTGGGCAACTTTACAGTTTGACTAAGAGACATTACAGACTAGCAGTGAACATCACAAAACAATGCCACCAAATATAGAGATTTAATGGTCAGAAAAGTGATTTTTTCCCCCAATATTTTTCTTAATTATAAGTAACTTAAAAAAAATTACAATTGAAACTCGATGTTCAGGTGATTTGGGAATCTTCATAGACCTTTCCTGAAATAAATTCTCATAATTTAGTGGGATCCCTACAAGACAAAGCATCACCCATTTGAATATGTATTGAAATGATAATAATTTTAAGTGTAAGTTAGGAAACATGCTAATTGTATTGAGAAACCTATGTCTTATTTATCTAGTTTCTGTAGGATTTGAGTCTGGTTCTTGGAAATTATAGTTCAGTGAGACAGCTCAGTGGGGAAATGAGCTAAGCCTGGCAATCTGAGTTCCATCTGGAATCTGTGGTGGAAGGAGGCAGCTCCTCAAAGTTGTTCCCTGACCTCTTTCACATGTGCTATGATGCCCTCTCTGTAACATTAAAACACATTCAGAAATGTTGATACCTAATCCTCTAAGAAAGACTTAATAAGACTTGCAATATTGGTGTATTGTTTTCACCTGTGTGCAGTGAAGGCTCGGCATATCTCTGCATCCACAAATGTTGCAAATCTCCCTCCCCCACACACACACCTTTTTTTACATTCATTATGTTCCAGAATAAAAAGTGCACAGGTAGGTGGCGATTCTATTTGCAGATACCCAATTTTAAACCCTTGTGCCACTCATATGTCTGCAAACCAAAGCTAGAGCATTAATTTAAACTCTACTGAAGACATTGCACCATAGAAGTTATTAGCTGTGGCTCATGAAGGCAGGTGGAGGATCACTTTTCAGCTAATAGATCCATCCAAGCCAAGCGCAAGATGCAGCTCACGAGTGTGCAAACCTTGAGTGTTAAATTGGTTTCTTTTGAAGTTTTTTTGTTTTGTTTTGTTTTTGTTTTTTTCCGGCCAGAATGCGTAACATTTATCAAGCATTCGCCTACATTGTGTTAGTGATTGTTCTGTTGCTTAATGGGAATCAGCTGGCTTTGAGAGCGACACTCAAGTAAAGGAACTGTTCTCTTCCCACAAGCTGTGGTGAGCCCAGTGTTGTGTTCCATAGGGGTACTAACTTGTCTTCTCTAGCCACTGTTGAGGGGAGCTGAAGGGTCTGCTCTTGACCTTTGTGGCCTCACCAATCCTGACAACACTGCTTGTGTCTGGGACCCACACTGAGCATCTCCACTCACACTATGTTATTTTAAGTATAAGATACAAAATCAGCTCCGTGATGTTCATTAGACCAAAGGCAGTTTCCTCAAATTGAGAGAAAAGAACTAAGACATTTTTTAATCGGGTAAACACCGACATTGTTAGGACACACTTGGCTATGTAGAATTTTTGTTAGCTCTGGAATGAAACCCACCGTACAACACTGCATATGTCTCCAGAGATGCGAATGCCACACCATGCGCATAGATGCCTTGGCAGCTCCTTAGGTCCAAGTGGGAAAGTTTGCAGCAGCCAAGTCTCTAGTGACAACCACGTCACATCACCTAACTGCTTGCCATGATGACCTTTATCCTCAGGCTCCTCCAGCCCAGCTGCTCCCACGGGTGAGTGGTTGTCTTTGGAGAGTTTCTTGATGGATTGGATAGGACAGGCGGTAGTGTGCTTGTTACTAGAAGGGGTAAATTTTGGGAAGATTCAGAGACTAAACTTAGAGTAATTGGAACCGTGCTAAAGAACTGCTTGTTTTCTTGAAGGAGTGACAGAAGATAGTTTATGACTGAAAAAACAAGGCTTGACCAAAAGTGATTTTTCTTGTGCGTGCAGGGCACAGCTGCTGGGATCTTTGCTGTGCGGGGTTGGTGGGCTGGGTCTCTGTACAGAAGAAGGAGACTATGAGGACCAGTGGCATGGTCCAGGTTGTGCTGCTCACCCTTCTCAGCCTGTGCAGAGTTTCTACACTCCTGTGCAGTCTGTGTATTTTGTAGTGCTCCACACTGTTTTCTTGGCAGGACATTAATCCTTGGCGGGCCCAGCCTGTTTTTCCATCTCATCAGTACACTTGTGGATTAGCTTGCTGCACAGGACATACTTCTCTGAAAGGTTCATTTCACTGGCAATTATTCCTGTCTTTGCTGAGAATGCTGTGCTTAGGAAAACATAATGAGGAAATTCTCTTTGGATTAATTTACTGAGAAACTGGATAAATCAAAACATACATTCCTTACGTAGATAACAAAGAAAGTTGCTCCTTCAGTAAGGATAGTTTTATGAGCACATAAGCAAAAGACTGCAGTTTGGCTATCATTTGCTTGTGACTCTCTTCAAAGATTACAAATTGTGTTTGATCTAAGAAACATTAGAAGCAGAGTATGTATGCATTTGCTGACATGGTTTGAGGATACAGCCTTTTTTTTTTTTTAATATGAAATACGATTAGTGAGAGTTGGATGTGTGGTGTGGTATTCTCATCTCTAGAGATATTCCATAGCAAGCTTGCTTAACCCTGACTCTTCAGAAGAAAAGGTTAAGAGAGCTGAAGTTACATAAAAGTAGATATTCTACATATGTATTACCTCCAGAACTACATCTTTGATATATAAAGTCTGCTCTTTTAGAAATTAAGCAAGAAAACATTTATTTTCCCCTGTCTCTAAAGAATGTGTTTGAAATCCATGGAGTGTTTTGCAAATTAATAGCCATGGATGCACATCTGAAAACTGCTTCTCATTCAGCATCCATCAGCCTAGCTCTCATGTACTGCTGAGTGTCTGCTTTGGGTCAACTGGCTTTGGTGGCTGTACAGAAGAGGGGTCCTACACCTAAGGGGGTAGGATTAAAACATTAGCTATTTTCCAATGGAGTAGAATCCACTCAAATATGTTTTTCATATCACTGTTTATTTTTGCTGATTTTTTTTCCCTTACACAATGGAGGTAGATACCTCATATGTAAGGTCATAATATTGTATAGGATGTATTTGACCTACTCTATCACAGCCACTGTTCTCAGGCTATGTGTATGACCACACTTAATCCTCTCAGCAAGTCTATGAGTTTGGGTACCACTTAGAGATAATGAGGAAAAGTTGGAACAGTTGAGTAAATGCCCTGGATGGGATACTGATAGAAGCAGAACTCAGTCCAGCCCAGAAAGGCCTTTCTATCTGTCCCTCCATCAAGCCCCTGTACAGAACAGTCACCTGATACAGGCTGTCCTGAGTGCTTGTCAGTATTGTGTGTGAGAGAAACTATGTGGATGCTTAAATTGGATGTGTTGCCTGGTTGTTTGAGTATGGATAGTTACAACTAAGATTTTTAGTATGGCGGTGGATAGCAGAGGACAATGTAGACTCTTTACTTACAAAGAACCTCCTGAGAGGCTCTGGAAGCAAATATTTGTCAAATGGTTGGTGTACAATAATTTGCTAATATTTGTATCATAATAAAGTCATTTTAGAGAAGGATCCCACAGGATTTGTACTGTTCTTTCCTGAAAGGACTGCATTTGGATGACTAATTGGAGGGGGGAAAAGAGTAAAGGAGGGAAGAGGGAGGACAGGAAGGAAGAAAGGAAGGGAGGGACAGAGGGAAGGAGGAAGGAAGGGAGAAAGAGAAAGAGAATGATCATGAGAGAAAACAAAGACCCGTGATGGAACGCAAACACACTGTAATGAATCAAACCTTACTTAAATTTAGTTGCTAAAAACAGTATGTGAGAAATTAAAAATTTTAATTGTAAAGCCAATGGGAACCTGTTCTTCCCATAGAAGCTAATAAAGCCTGATGAGTTTTCAGAGTTTATGTAGAATTTTAAAAGTTACTAAATTGGAATTGCACCCACATTGGGTGGCTCACAACTGCCTATAACTGCAGCACCAGGAAGGTTCATGCCTCTAGTCTCTGTAGACACCTGTACTCACATGTACACACACACACACACACACACACACACACACACACACACACACACACGCACAAACTTTAAAAGAAACATTGAACTCACAGTTATCACGGTGATACAAATCTTCCATCTCTTTTGTTCTTTTAAACAACAGACATGGTAGTGATCTCAAGTCCTGGAAAGCATGCTTCATTAGAGTTCCACTGTAATTCATTCCCCATGGCTAGATAATGGGAGACCGGGTAGAGAAAAACTTAAATCTGTAGCTGGCTTGCCTTGAAAGGAAGCAGGCAAGCCTTAGGATCTTGAAACAGTATTTCACTTTTCTCTGCCAGTGTCTTCATTTGTAACGTAGGTGATGATGGCATTCATAGGAGTGGTATGATAAAAGAATTAATTCATGTGAAGGCCTGGGAACCCTGCCTAGCACAGAGAAAGTTGCAAATGCGTAGAGCTGTGTGCAGTGCAAGAGTGGGCAGCTGCAGCTCTTTGATGATACTTTCAGATCAATGTCATTTTCATGGATTAGGAATAAGGAAATTCTTCCCGTAATATAGGCTAATATTTACTCATATTGGGTAGCAGTTAAACAAGAATCAGTGCTTATGAACACACTCCACCAAGAACTGTGTGACACTCTACAAGGCTTTGAAGCCTCATTCTTTTGTAGCTGTCAAATGAGCGCTCTTGGAATCTGCCTCCATAGTGGTAAGGATGAATGCTAAGCAAGGAGATTGTTCACCTGGATAAGGCATGCTCCTTTTGGTTGGCGTCATTATTTCAAAATGAATACACCCTCAGACACTTGGCATGGATGAGGTGAAGGAACACTTTGCGAGGCACCTCGGTTCTACCTGAAACATTTTTCATCTGCCATTGCTGTAGTGCTCCGATATGTTTCCTCACATCCCCTTTCGCCATGACCTCCAACTTCAGGGTCTAGCTGGCATTCCGCTCTACCCTGTGCAGGTGTAAGAATGAAGGTTCCTCGGGGACCAAAGGAAGAGAGAGGCTTCTTATACATCTGTAGCTGACCATCACATGGAGCCGGCCCTTGGTAGGGCAGATTTCCTCGCTCATTCGGGCATTTCTTCAGAAGGCCAGGATTGAGAGGTTGAAAAAAACTAGGGCAACCTGTTTCCAAAAGGAAAGGGAAAAAACAAAAACAAAAAATCAGAGAAACAAAACAAACAGGCATTTAGACAGCAGTCTCCTGACCAGCATCTTGCCTTTCTCTGGACTATCCCCAAGTTTTTCATTGAGTCAATAATAGAAGTAAAGGGATGTTTCCATAGAGCTCGAACACAATTGTTTGCTTCATAACTGGTGTTTCACTGGGGACCCAGGTCATCCAAAATTGTTGCATGGCTTCCAATTGTGTGAAGCTGGTGGTGTGTCCTTCAGCCCTGATGCCATCCCAAGTAAATGCACACACTGTGTTCCCTGCTTGTTAAGCTAGTGAAGCTGAACTGTATGTATGCTGCTGCTGGATTAGCACAATACTGTCTGTCAAAAGAATCCAAAACTGTATCTTTGGATTTTTCTTTTTTGCCCCATAATTGAGGTGCATAAATTCAATGAAAAGCATGCACTAGAAAGAACAGTGCATAGCATCAGAGATGACTGGGATCTAAGGCTGAACTAACTTGATTCCTTGGTCAGAGCAGAGACTCGAGAGCTTGGGAGGAGCTGGTTATATGTAATTTTTGATGGTTGTAGGGAGATTCAGTGAAGATGATAAGTTGTGAGGAGAGCCTCGGACATCTGAATAGGACTTCAGTAGACATTTGTTCCCTGACTGAAGTAGTACTCCTGTTATTGAATGAGTAGACTCATCTTGCTGAGCTATTTCATTGCTGTGTGACCTCAGGCAGGCAGCACTTTTATTTAAATCTCTAATAATAATCTTCCCACAATTATTGGTTTGCTCCAAATTTACTGCCCACTAGTCATTCTTATCTCAGAAAGAAAGGGAGGAAGGGAAAGGAGGGAGGAAGGAGGAAGGGAGGAAGGAGGGAGGGAAGGAGGAAGGGTGTCTCTTTTGCCTCAAGTTCTTGAAACTACAAACCAACAAGCCATTCTGGATCCCTGTAGATCACAAACTGTCTCTCAGTCTGCAGGGCATTGCGGGGTGTTAAGAGATGCTGACAGACCCCTAACCTTCCCTGCACTTCCATCCCACACACCCAAATCAATCTCTGTCACTTCCCATGTTTAGAGATTTCCCAGATTCTTCAAACTGAACCCCAAATAAAACTTGGGACTGCTGACTGTGGTCTAGTGAGCCATGCATGACAGTACGTCTCCCTGCATGTCCTGCTTCCTGTCATCTCCACATCTCACCAAGCTAGCCTCGCTGTCCCTCCCATGTGCTGCAATGCTTTCTCCAAAGGGTGGGGGAGTAGACATGAGCAATTTGGTCCTGACCTTTAGGAATCCTCGCCGCCCACCAGAGCATCTTCATGTCCTCTCTAATGTCACGCTCTTTTACTTCTTTACAGAAGCCCTTCCAGTGCAAAGTTACATGACTTCTTTGTGTGATTAGGCATTGCCCATCTTTCCCTTTTCACAGGGGTCACCTAAGACATTTACATTATATATATATATATATGTGTGTGTATATATATATATATATGTATATATATATATACATTATGATTCATAACAGTAGCAAAGGTACAGTTATGAAGTGCAATGAAAATAATGTTATGGTTGCGGGGTCACCACAACATGAGGAAGGCTGAGAACCACTGCCCTGGACTATCACTCACTGAGGCCAGAATTTTCACTCCCTCGCTTTTTATTGTGCTCCCAATGCTAGAAAGATGGTTAACACAATAGATAATTAAAGACTGAAGTTGCTTAACCATTTTAAAACCTATTGCATCATATGGTCTTTTTTATGGGGTGTTGGAAAGATTAAAGTAGTGTGTATAGACACAGCACAGTGCTTAATATATCATATGAGCTCCATAAAGATTTCTATCTATTGTGTTTTGGGTATTTTTTGTTTGTTGTTGTTGGACAGGCATTATATAAATGTATGTCAGTGTGTTACTACTTTTGCTTAAAGTACAGATGTAGAGCAGTGTGTACCTACTAAGGTTTGCATTTTTGCTTACTAGATATCTAAGATGAACTTGATGTCACTCCTAGAGTAACTAGGGAGCATTTCAGGTGACTTTCTTCTTTTCCCAGGAGGGTGTCTCTGCTTTTCTTGGTAGAAAACACATATGCACTGTTTCAAAAAGTTCCCTTGAGTGATTGCTAATATTCTATCATAGGAAGCTAAAGAAAAGAACACACGACACGACACCAATATAATGTATTTAATGGCCAAACAGTTTCCAGACTTAAGAAAGCCTCTCAAAGCAGAGGGGCAAGATGCATAGTCACCTGGAGAACTTGGTATATATTAGAAGCCTGTTATCCAGATGTTCTAGACACTGGAATGCTTAGGGCCCAGACCAGCCAAGTTAACACTCAGTGACCTCAATTTCCTCTGCCCTGGTAACAGGAGTTATCCCACATGGGACCTCAGAGTATAACCTCGAAGGGCAGATAGGAAAAGTTGGCCTGTGACCCCTTTTCATACCAGGGTTAGAACTGGTTCCAAAGCATTTCTGTGTTCTCTAAGAAATCAGCTGTAACTACAGCCCCGGAGTTCGTAGTATTCCCTGGGGACACTGAAAGTTACCAAATGTGATAGGGAACATTAAATAGGTATATGCATGTACCAAATGTGGGTATTGTGGCTGATTATTCCCAGACATATGCATAGGCCTTACCCATAAAAAGTACCAAAGGAATCCTCTGACTGTTGCTCAGTCCAGAGGCTGCAGCAGAATGCGCCTAGTACAGGTATGTTCACTAATGGAATAAACTTAAATTATCTGTAAAGAGATATTTTACAGCTATATGTCTAGTCACACATTTACACACATGCATATCTAACGTACTTGGTTCAATTTTGGAATCTTTATTCACTAGCCTACAATTGTAATTGTGGAATTATGTTCTAATGGGAGTGTGCTTTTCTTTTGCTCTGTTAGTGGTGCCAACTGCCCCTATTCAGAAATCAACTTGAATAAAGACCGAATTTTTCCAGACCGCCTAAGTGGTGAGATGCCGCCATCTAGTCCATCGTTTCCGAGAAGTAAAAGGACAGATACAAGTGAAAGCTCATCGTCTGCTGAAACCAGGTACTCAGAGTGATGATGCTTACGTTGTCCAGGAGCACTCTCATTGGACAGATTGTCCTCTTGCATGCTTTACAGTCTATGGCAATGTTTTCCTGTGGATTGTTAGAAATGCACATGATTTCGCTAAGTTGGTGTGCACTCCCAGAATGCTAGCACTGGGGAGGTAGAGATATGAAAGCCACGACATAGTTTAAGGCCAACCTAATCTACGTGAGACCCTGCCTCAAAAACAAAACAGTACTTCAGTTACTGTGAAGCGACAGTGGGTATCCATTCTTGGAAAGGTCACATCGTTAGTCCTAATGTATTTGACCAAGAGGTCAAAGAGCCTTCCATCTCTCTAAGACCCTTAAGCCTTTAACTGAATTTGGCTGTGATGACATGAACCAAGCCACTGCAAGGCTGAAGCAGGAGAATTGCTTAGTTCAAGATCAGTCTCAGCAACATAGTGGGATTTCATGACAAATAAGTATGTAAACCAAGTCATTGCTGAGTTGAGAGACTCAGTCCTGGAAACTGTGTCTAGAGGAAGTAGAAGAGGCTCTACTTTTCCCTGATGTGTTTCCTCTTGTAAGAAAACTGTGAAGCTGTTAAAAAAACAAAACAAAAAACTCAGTAGTGTTACGTTTTGAGTCATGTGTGTACATTATGATAATTTCAATGTGTCTTCTTTGATGTGAGGGAGATGGCCAGAGGCACTATGTCTAATTCTCAGACCACAGTGATGTACTTCAGGTTGGGTTATTCAGGAGTTAATGGTGGGAGAATTCACTCTTTGAGGTGTAGACAGGACTTGATCCTTCTTGGAAGCCCTGAAAGCCATGTTTTGGAGAGTTCAGAGTTTTTTCTTAATTTGCATTTCTATTGCTGTAATAAAACATCATAGATCAAAATCAACTAGAGGACAAAGAGGTAAATTTATTTCATCAGTGAGGGAAGTAAAGGCAGGAACTCCAAACAGGGCCAGACCAGATAGTCAGGGGCTGATGCCAAGGCCATCAAAGAATGAGGAATGATGCTTATTGGCTTGCTCCCAGGACCACTAGCCCTTGGGATGGCACCACTCACAGGGAGCTGGGCTCTCCCACACCTATTATTCAAGAAAATTCACCACAGGCTTGCCCACAGTGAGGTTCCCCTGTCCCCAAATGACTTACTTGTGACATAAAACTAGTCAACAAAAGAACTGTAGACTGTTCAAAATCCTTTCTGTTTTAATTGCATCTTCTCAATTGTCCCTTCTGAATCAGCATTGGCCAAAGTCCTGGTTTTAATATGTAAGGCATGAGAAAGAGATACAATGTAATGCTCATAACTAGTTGTATAGGATTCCTTATTTCTTCTAGTTTCTTCCCAGATAACCAAGAAACAGTAATTCCATATTGAATCAAAAATATACAAAGCGATTGTAAAATAATAACGATTATGAGGGACTGGGGAGATGATTTAGTGTATAAAGTGTATTCCATGCTGCGGAAGCATGAAGAACTGAGTTTGGAGCCCCGGCATTCATGTAAAAGCCAGACACCAGTACATACATAACTTCAGTGCTAGGAGGTGGTGACAGGTAGATCCTGTGTGCTCCCTGATCAGCCAATCTAGCAGACATAGCAAACTCCAAGTTCAATGAGAGGCCCTGTCTAAAAACTAAAATAGTGATGGAGATGAGAACCAGTGTCTACCTCTGGCTTCTACAAGTGCACACACGTGTCAGAAAACCCTGCCTCAGACACATGCATGCACACACACTCACACACCACTGCCACCACACATACACATGCAGTTTTAAAAAAGATTATGAGAACTATGAGCTTTCTGCTTAATTAAAACTTTAATTCACTGGAATGTAAGTGTAGTAAGTAATCTAGCATTCATTCAAAGCTTATACAATGCCTGACAGGCAAATTTAAAAAAAAAAAATTTCTAAAAATAAATATACAAGAATATTTTACAAAACAGATTTAGTGATAATTTATTGGTGTCCTACCAGAGCTTATAGAAGGATAGTTATTGTTCTAGAAACTTTCTCACATGTTACTTGCTTTAGTAAATAGTGATGAAAACCTTTTTGATAGACCAATGAAGGGCATCAAAACACTGGATATAAAAAGTTGATGAACTAAACATTCTGAGGCTTGACTCTCCGCCCAGCTGTTCTCTGGGCTCTGGACTCTGGGCTCCTTCCTCCATGGAAAGTGATGGAACAGGAGAAAGCAAAGGACACTCCAGCTTGTGTACTGGCTTCTCTGCATACAATGCATGTGACCTTCGATTTCACTTGTCTCTTTGATTCTCATTGTTGAGTGAGGGTGATAAAAGTGAAAAGTGTAATTGAAAAGCTATTCATGTGATCACTAGTAAGCCCTAAGCCCTTATTTTGTAGGTAGAGTTTCTCTGTGTCCCAGCATTTGCTCCCAAATAACCACACAGAGACTTATTAATTATAAATTCCAGGCCCATAGCTTACGTTTGTCTCCAGCCATCTCTTACAACTGATATTAGCCCATTTCTATTAATCTGTGGGCTGCCCCGAGGCTTATTTGCCTCATCTATGAACTTCCCATGTTTCTTGTATGGCATCTGGCTCTCAAAGACTCCTTAGACTCTTGCCCTTCTACTTCCCAGCATTCTCTCTGCCCTGAAAATTGGCCAATCAGCTTTTTATGAACAATGAGACCAACACGTTTTCACAGTGTACAGAAGGGTTATTCCACAGCACATATTGAATGGTAGTTTTTATGAGTGTTTCTGTCCTTGTTTACTTGTTTGTGTCATAGGCCTGGGTAAGCATCCCTTTTCCAAAACTCTTGTGACCAGAATCTTTCAAATTTGGGATTTTAAAAAAATGCTGCATTTGCCTAAACTTTATAAGTTGAGCATTCCTAATCTGAAATGCTCCAAGAAACACTCAAAGAATTCCTGCTTTGGGCACATTTTAGATTTGGGGATTAGAAATATTCAACTCCAAAATATTTTTTAAAAGAAAATAAAATATTCAACCCATAGTTCCTAAGAATAAGAGTACAGCTAGTCAATTTCTGTAATATTCCTGGGCTATGTGGAATACATTGTTCAAATAGGATGATTGTCATAATGTTCACATTCTCTTCCTGTGACCTTTGCCCACCTCACATGTTTAGCAAGTTTCCTGTGTATCAGTTTCTAATTTGTTAAAATTTAGCTGCCACTCTGTTCTTCTTAGATAATGTGCACTCCCAGAGGCAAGCTGTAAGATGGATTGGTTCCAAGTGGCTTATTTGTGAGGTGAAGAAGGCATCGGTGAGGGACTGGGCGTGAAGCAGAAGGGAAGGCAATCAGAAACAGCTTACCTGTCACACCAGTTACTGCAGCAGGCAACACAGCACAGACCTGGGAATATTCTGTGAAAAGTGAAACCGCACATTTCAGAGGCTGCCTTCGGTAGGGGTAGGGCAATAGAACTATTCACACACCAGTTTCCTTTGGAGTCCTCTAGATGAAGCAAATGAGCATCAGGCCTTTGTGTGCCAAAGAGGCCTATGGCAGCAGTGCCCAAACTATTGCGTGTCAGATGCCCTGTAGTGTCCTTAAAGTTTAGGTTTGGGGCCTCCACCAACCCACCAGAACCTTCTAGGCTAGGGCCTTGAAGTCTCAGTTTTAAAAGTTCTTCTAAAACTTTCAGTGACCTCCTGCTACTTGGTGTTGGACCTTAGTTCCCAATGCATCTCACATAGAGTCCTTCATTCCCTCTAACCTTGCTAGACTCTTTCCTCAAGCAGATATTTCAGACATCCTTCTCTTTGTCGAGATAAAGAATCTCTGTTCATTCAAGCCACCATCCTGACCTCCAGGCTTTTGCTGACTCTCAGGCCTGTGGATCAGGCCATGATGTGTGTCCACATCTTCTTACACTACCTTTGAAGACTTCCTTAGAGTCTTTGCTTTGCTTTATAAGCTCTGTCATGGTAGAAGCCATGTCTATCTTCCTTTTCCTCAGCATGGAACATGCGTGGCATCCCTAGGATGTAGACATTTCCAATCTCCCTTTTCAAAGGAGAAATGCCAGGCATTATGACCCAAGAGACAGTCGTTATGTATTTTTCTCTTTATTTACTTGAAAGTCCTACATTTTCAACTTTGTGATATTGCCACACCAGATGTTCAAGCAGCCATTACTAAGTGATGATGTAGAGTCTCCAAATACATACTCACACTCTTGTATATTAGGTTGAGACTTTCTTATTTGTTGGTTACCTTCCTGACCTACCTAGATTAGTAAAGAAACTACATGAACATTAACATTTATTTGGCAAACCAAGGAAAGAGGTAAACCTGCCTGATAGTGATGCGAGAAAAAGGTATAGGGACTGCATCCTAAAGCTTTTTTATACCTGGGATTCAGAGTAGCCTCATCTTCTTATTGGGTTCTGCATGCTTGGACCTATTTTCTGGTCAAATGTGTGTGAACAATTCCTAGAGCATTCTAGGTAGAAATGAGGGTATTCATGCGGTCCTTTTCCATCTATAACCTCATCCCGTCGGCCACAAGTTTAGTGAGCATCTGCTGGGCCAAGTGCTTGCAGTGAGGTAAGGTCCCCACTTTGGATAGGGAAGTTCATCACTACCCTCTCATTGCCCCTGGCTGTAAGATGGCAGCTCTTAAAAAAAGATGGCAGCTCTTCCTGGGGATGATCTTTACATCTCCACATGTCTCCATCTGAATAAAAGAATATGTGTATGTATTTCTCTGTGTGTTTTAATAAAACTTGGGTCTGGAGCTTTGATTTGCATGGTATCATCTAGGATGCATATGTAGAATGTGGCTTTTGACTCAGGAAATGGGAGGTAGTACATCCCAGGAATCCCTCTGCTTGACAAACACTCCCGTGTTACAGGAGCAAGTGGTCTCTGTGTTAGACTTTGGGGATAACTATTGCTTGTAAGCACCACTGGAAGGGAACATAAGGTTTCCTTTCACATAGTCTTATCCTCATCAAGTCTGTCTACAGCTAAATTAGACA